CTGAGACAATTGATGGTTTATTAAAATCCCTTGTAATGTGAACGGTAACTGCTCGATCTTTAATAAATTACCCCTCTCCATTGTGATATCCTCCGACAATAAAAGAATTCCACAAGGGATTAAATCTAGATCGCCTGGCATAGAGGACTCGACCTAAAAATTCGTATACATGTGGAGTCCCGAGTATATGACCATCGTTTGCATAATACTCCTCGACCCTTTTCAAATTTAGATTGATCGTTCGTTAGGATAAATTAATCTTTGGATAGTGGATTTTGATAGCAATCGCCTGCCTACATTAAATTATCTAAAACATGTTTGGTATATTGAAAATCGGAGATATCTCCAGATGCGCCTATAACCGTGAATTCGCCTACAGGGTGAATACGTTCAACATCCCTGAAACGAGCGAGAGAACCATAGGATGCTGAAAAGATTAAATATCAATTAATTTTCTGGCAAACACGAAAAAGATGCTTTCAAAGAGTTCAAGTCTACCTAAATTATCGGCGGCTAGCATTACACCGTCCTTATACTTTAGAGCAATTACAGAAGTACCCGTTACTATGGGTTGTCTGTGAAAGGTCAGAAAAAGAAATATCACTATGAATTACACGAATTTTCAAGACCGACAAAGGTTTCGATAAAGAAAAAACGGGATACGAACTGAGTTCGTGTAATGATATCATTCTTCGGTTTTACTTGAAGAGGGAAGATGCGTGGATCATTCTCTCGGAGAGGTTTCTCCCACTGTTCCATGTTCGATAGGTTTACTAATTAAAAGATTGATGCGTTCGTACGTGCGGATTAAATAGTGATCGACGCTTAAATATTTTTCATTACCTACTTACTAAACATTTTTTCTTTATTTAATAAATTCAAAATATTCACTAGTATATTTCCAGGTTTTTATTTATTTATTTATTTTATTACTTGTAAAGCATAAAGATCTTGTTACAGCTATTCTTGTTAATATTTTATATACTTTTTGTTAAGTTTTGAAAAATTATAGATAATACTTTTCTTAATAGAATAATTATACTATGCAACTAGTATTGTTTAATATAGTTTGATTATATAAAAGTTATTTTTATTAAAATCTTATTTTTAATATAAAAATTTTGAATTATTTTATTATTATAAAGGATTGAACTTATACTGTAGATATCATCAGGACTTTTAATGAAGTCATTGATATATAGTATATTGGATTATATTAATATAAACTTTTCTTTTACTTTTTCTTATCTATATTTTTATAACCCAGTATCCTGATTGGATATATCAATACTTATAATAAATCATTTTAATTTAAAGCTTTAATTATAACCTTGAAAATAATTTGTTATTTTATTAATAGTTTAGACAAATACTTTATTATCATTATTATAGAATACTATTGTAAAGATAAAAAAAGAAATATATACTATACAATGGCTCACAAAAGTCTTGCACTATTAAAAATTTAAATGTCAAATCTGATTAATCAATAATAATTAGTATTTAAAAGTAACCAATCAAAATTAAAATCGATAATTTATAAAAAATATATATTTTTTTGTTTTTAATTATATTCTTGATT